ACATGAGAAAAGGGTTATAGATAGTTTCACAGTTGGATGTTACATTGTATAACTGCCAAGTTTTGCCTGATATAATGAACATATACAAAGTAAACTATTTGATACTTTGAAACAATATTGTAACAGGGAAAACTTTGAAACAAATAATTATCAAATAGTTTCACACTTGGACATTATAATGGACATTGTCGTTTTGATTGTTTTTAAGTCACAACCCTTTTCTTTGCTTTAATAGAAAGAAAACTATTAAATCAGCATGTGTTCAATGATATAATGAACATATAGCCATGAGCCTCATTTCTTATATTAATTATCACTTTCTAAAATAATGGCATATGTGGTTGAATTTCAATAGAAAGAAAGATCAATAAGACTTGATATAAACTAAGCAAGAGGGGCACTATCATAGTCTCTTGAAATGGAGAATTATTGTAGAAGTTTGCATATAAAATTACAAAGCTTTTAGTTTTTAAATGTTTAATTTCATTGAGCGAGAAAAAATTATCTGTCCTATTTCTCTTCAAAAATCTAATTAGGGTAACCTGTGTTCATAAAAACAACAGCAATAATTTTAAAAAATGAGCTAATTGCTCCATAATCATTTGCTCAAGCTTCAATTTCACTAGCTAAACTGATTTTGACCCTTAAAAACTACCTTTAATCATCAATTTAAAATCAAGCTATTCCATCATTTTAGCTTAATCTGAGCTCCAATCCCATCGATTTTAACCAAATCAAACAACAAAAACACAAAATTGACCCCCCCCCCCCCCCCAAACCCCCCCCCAAAAAAAAAAAAGAAAGAAGAACAAAGGAGCAGAGATCAAACCTACAAGCTCGAAGCTTAGCTGCAGTAACTCCAAAAAAATTCGCCCAATTGTTAGGTCCTATAAAGAGAGAGAGAGATGCGAGTACGATTTTTACCTTGATTTTTGAATAATCTGAAAATAACAAAAACCTCATATCTGAACAACGTCGGCAAAGATCAGACCCCCCTCCCCCCAATTTCTTCGAATACAAAGACAAAGAAGGCCGCTGGAGTTTCTGGCGAAAGCAATGCGAAGGAGGTAACTCTAGCTCACCGAAGAAATCAACGAGGAAGAAAAAATCCAATGTGGCCAGGCTTTCGTCGATTTCACTCGATTGGGGAAGGAAATGGGGGAGAGAAAAAAACCGACCTGGAGGCGATTTGTGCTTCGGTTTCCCTCTTCAGTCCTAGCAAAACAAAACGGAGAAAAAAATCAGCAAAAACCAAAAATCAGACATGGAGGAGAAAAAACCGACGTGGAGGCAAAGTAATAGTTTTCCATGGGGTTTTAAAACGAACCAAACAGCCCCTAAATAGTAAATATTATAGCATAAACAGTAAACATTGGTCCCATACACTCAAAAGTTATTTTTTATGCTACAATATTTTACTATATCATAAACAATAAATCGAATCATGATACAGTTATTTCATAACCAGTAAAGCAAATCAAATGTATTAAAATTTGAATCTTTTTTAAGTATATATAGAGGAGTAGATATGATTTCTAAATCAATGTATTTTTGGATCATTCTTTAAGTATAGAGGAGTAGATATGATTTTAATTTTAAGTATACAATAATTAAATTAAATGTATTAAAACTTAGAGGAAGACAAGTTTAAAATATAATGCTTTAAAAAATAGGAGCACGTGCATTGCACGGGGTACACACTAGTATTCTTCTATAGTGGAAGTTGTTCATCCCCTGCCCCCACCCAAAAAAAACCAAACCTCTGAAATGCCTTTTTTTGGAAAAATTGTGTCAAGACCCAAATTTTCAAAACTCAATGTGCCCCAGCCCCTCATATTTTTTGCAATGTGTTGCAGCTCCCAAATTTAAAAAATTATGGCACAGCCCCTCCAGCTCATGATTAGCCCATATTTGACCTAAAAACTCAAATTTACCTTTCTCCTTCTCCTTCTCCTTCCTCTCCTCTTCTCCTTCTCATTCCTCATCCTCCTTCCTCTTTCCTCACCGGCGATCCTCCAGTTCGTCACCGACTCTGCATGGGCTCCACAGGGTATCCTCTTCCTCGTCTCCTTCTCCTTCCTCATCCTCTTCTCTTTCTCCTTCATCATCCTTCTTCCTGGCGATCCTCCAATTCATCGCTGACTCTGCATGGGATCCACCGGCGACCCTCTTCCTCGTCTCCTTCTCCTTTATCATTCTCCTTCCTCCTCGGCAATCCTCCAGTCCGTCACCGACTCTGCATGGGCTCCACCAACGGTTGGTTGGCCACCGTCGACAACTGATTGGAGATGATACTGCTCAATCCCATCACTCAATCCCAAATCAGACTCCCTCCAATCTCCACTATACTGGAGTTCTTCCCTATATCCTCGCACGAAGAAATTTATGAAAAATTCATCATGTCTTCAAGCTCCATGGAAAAGGACTGTGTGATTATGCACTATTCATTGTAGTCTACGTGTATATCTAGCCGAGATGTTCCTAGAGTGAGAGGCAATTGTATTTACTTTATCGATGACTTTGTGGATACTAAATGAGGACCGTGTTTTGAAAGGAAGAGAAGAGATGTTGAGTGGATTAGTCATTGTTTAAAATTTTATTGTACATAGGCCATTTCGTTGGCTTGAAAATTATATGTAGTATGTACATGATGCGTTGATAATTGAAAAATATAAGACGATATACAAAAATATTCATTTGAAATAATGTATGTATAAATATTCAGTAGATTAATTGTATAGTTTTACCTAATACAAGTGAACTATAGCAAATTAACTGTTAACGTTTACCAATTCAATGTTAAGTATGGTGGAGTAAGTGTTAACTTTTTTTTTAAAATGTTAAGTTTTGTTAATTAACTGTCAAGTTTTACCTTGTACATGTGAACTATAGCCGATTAACTGTTAATGTTTAGTTATTCTATATAAGTATAATTGAGTATCTGTTATCTTTATTCTTTTAAATGTTAAGTTTTTGTGTTGTACATGTGAAAAACAGTTGATTAACTATAAATCTTTAGTTGTTCCATATAAAGTATAATGGCGAGACCGACTACAACAGCGACATATTCATGGACCACTATGATTGTGGTTAATGAGCAAGAACATGAAAGAACAAAGGCGGCTGAGCTCTTTCGATGTTAATGGGCTCTTTGATCACTCATATCTTAAGGGATGGACTCACTCGTAATTGGATCTTAAATAACCCGAGCATTCAGAAATTTTTTAAGAGGCTATGTGAGTTTGTTGGAGTTAAGATTTATACAAAAGTTTCTTGCAACATTAGAACTGAAAAATTAGTAAAATATATTTTACAAGTTTATTAGAACTAAAAACAATAAACAAAGAAAGTTAGATTTTAACAATTTAAGAGTTAAGGTACATTAATAGGTACTTCGTGAGTTTTAGTAGACATATATTAACAATTACTTGATATTTTACATTATATAATCTTATTCAAAAGTTAACAATTACTCAATTACATTTAAGAAGGACTAGGTAAATGTTAACAGTTAGTTAACTATAGTTTACATATATTAGGTAAAACATAATAATTAATTTATAAAACTTAACATCTAAATGAATAAAGATAACAACTACTCAATTATACTTATATGGAACAACTAAACATTAACAGTTAATCGACTATAGTTTACATATAATAGGTAAAACTTAACATTTAATTAACAAAACTTAACATTTAAAAGAAAAAAGTTAACACTTACTCCACTATACTTAACATGGAACATGTTAACGTTAACAATTAATTTGTTATAGTTCACTTGTATTAGGTAAAACTTAATAATTAATCTACTGAATATTTATACATCCATTATTTTAAATGAATGTTTTTGTATGTAGGCTTTTATTTTTTAATTATCAACACATCATGTACTAACTACATATAATGTTTAAGCCAACAAAAATGGCTTATGTATAATAAAATTTTAAACAAAGACTAATCCACTCAACATCTCGGCTAGATATACAAGTAGATACAATTGTCTCTCACTCCAGGAATATCTCGGCTAGATATACATGTAGACTGGTTGCTTTCAATGAACAAAGCATAATCACACAGTCCTTTTCCCTGGGGCTTGAAGAAAGAACGAATTTTTCATAAATTTCGTTGAGTGAGGAGTTAGGGGGAAACTCAAGTATAGTGGAGATTAGAGGGAGTCGGATTTGGGATTGAGTGATGAGATTGAGAAAGAAGAGAACGAGAAAGAAGACGAGGAAGGAGGATGAGTGAGGAGAGAATGAGTTAGTTTCGGTGGAGCCCATGCAGAGTCGGTGGCGAACTGGAGGATCGCCGGGGAGGAAGGAAGATGAGTGAGAAAAGAATGAGAAAGACGAAAAAGACGAGGAAGAGGATCACCTGTGGAGCTCATGCACAGTCGACAACGAACTAGAGGATTGTCAGGTAGGAAGGAGGATAAGGAAGGAGAAGGAGAAGAAGAGAGGAAGGAGAAGGAGAAGAGGTGTAAAATTGGGGTTTTAGGTCAAATATGAGCTAATCATGAGCTAGAGGGGCTGAGCCACATTTTTTTTAAATTTTAGAAGCTACAGCACGTTGCAAAAAGTATGAAGGGCTGGAACACATTGAGTTTTGAAATTTAGGGCATTAACATAATTTTTCTTTTTTTTAAATATCCATCATTATACTATTTTCCCTACTATTCTTTTTTTTTCCCCTAATTACTTTCTAAAAATATCCTTCTAATCTTTCTGATTAATTTCCTTCTTTTATTCTTTGTAATTACCTTTTCTTTTCTTTCTACTTAAATGTTTTTAACGCATCAAATTAATTTTGGAATACAAAACAACGGAAGGTTAATACTGGTGTCGCCAAAATCAAAAGCCTACTAACCAGAAAACATACAAAAATCTGCAAATTATTCAAGAACAGTTCAAGATATAAATCCATAAATTTAAAAAGCATTGCTTTGCAGTTAAATAAACAAAATACATGACTGATGAACTTCAGCTTTAAGTAATGAATAACTCAATTTCAAAAGCATAAATTTTGCTACTTCTATAAGGCAATGCTCCCAAAAGTCACTCTCCAGTTCAATCTATTTAAACTTCAAGCAACACAAGAACAAAACCATAGACAGTGAGGCATCAGATTATACCTTTTAAACTTGAAATCCTATAAAAAAACCAAGTTCACATCCCTATAGAGGCTAAGAAACTTTCACATATGAAGCCTATGAGAAATATTCGAGATGCCCGTTAGATCTAATACAAAAATAGCTCGCCCATAGCTCGCCCATCACGAGTATAGAACCCACCCGAATGAAGTGTATCGAGTTTGGTTGCCAAAACGTTCTTGAGGATATGCATACGTTATTGAGTAAACAATCAAAACTCACGTCTTGGTGGCCTTGCTTCTGCTACTGTGACCCGAATAGTTCTGCCATCTAAGTCCTGTGAAAATAAGATGAAAATCTCATGTCAACAGCTAGCATTATTAAGCTAGAAGCCAATGATGCAGAAGTAGATTATTTCGTGATGGAAAAATTATACTCTGGCCTTTACCCACTAGATTAATGGGGTTCACAATCATAACAATTTATTGGCTCATTTGAATAGACCGCAAAAAGAATGTCCCCAGATCAAAGAGATATACTGAGTAAGATACCAAAAACACATCACGTCTAGTGGAATCGTGGCTTGCTCATCTACTATTGCATAAAAGTAGAAGGTCATACACAAATTTTTATTTGTTCACATTCCTCCATCCCCGTGTATTTCCATTCTGAATTGCAGACCCCCTTGTACCATCACCCCGCTGCAGATAGATCTCCTGTAGTCCTAGTGGTATAGATAGACTCTCCAAGTGGTCTTTATTGACTCTTTCACACTCAAAGAAAGACTATTTTTAAAAGAAATAGACCGCTTGAGGGTAAAAAAGACAAAAAATTTATTATGGGTTCTACCCGCACTAGGCCGACAGCACCTGCAACTGAGAGATAGTACAAGGGATCTATTCTACCAATCCAAGAGGTATTCTTCCATTGGTGCATCATTAATCTAACGGGTGAGGACCATCAATAGTTTTCTGAAGGAAAATAGTTATAAGGCACATGGAAGCTTTGAGACTTACAGAGCCATCGAGGTTTGAAATAGCGTTATTGGCCTCCTCAGCAGTGTTGTAAGTGACAAAGCCAAATCCCCTTGACCTGCCGCTTTCTCTGTCATACACAACCTTGGCATCCACAACCTTGCCTTGTTCACTGAAAAGGTTCTCGAGAGCCAAATTGTCAACACCCCATGAGAGGTTACCAACATAGAGCCTGTTGGCAGCATTGAAACTGCCACCACCTCCTCCACCTTCGCTTCGGAAACCCCTTGATGGGCGCTCCTCTCTTGGAGGTGGTGGTCCTGAGTTCACCCTCAATGTTCGGCCTTTGAATTCCTGTTATATTATGAATACTACTTGTTTAGTGCATACAGATAATTAGACAACCATATATATATGTGAAACATGAAACAATAGACAATCTGAAAGACTGATATGAAAACAGCAAACTGCCTTATAAATTAAAATGCAGACATATGAATGAGGAAATGTCCTATGCATCAGTATTCTAGTGGTTTTGTGAAGATTGAGGATTTATGATACAATTTGGAAAGTGATTATCAAGCTCATCATTTTTATTGAGCCTTTTCTTTTTGGCTTGAAATCCACTGGATTTATGAAAACCTTTTCACTTTCCGCCAAAATCCTCTCATTTTGGAGTGATTTTGGTTGAGGAGATAAAGGTGGCGCGTCTTCATTTTCATGCTTTTAAAAGATACAATCAAACAAGGTCGAGTTAGAAGCATTAATTATGGACGCTGTGTTTGGGGAATTTTTACTTAAAATTTACATGCAACCAAACAGCTTCTAAGGGAATACCATTTAGATGCAAATGAATGGCGAAGGAGCATGTGACCTACACATATAATTGGATCATAGCTATTAACTATAGCATAGGATGTAAACGTGACTCTTAGAGAGGAAAAATCATTGTACTATATAGACTTTATTTTATCCTTTCATATAGCTAAACTAATAGAATCTACATAGCAACCAATAAGATTTCAGTTAAACAGAAAGGTTGTAATATACATAACCTAGATACTTCATGGAAAATACATTTAACTTTACTATGAACAAGGAAACAGCTACTTACTAGTTACTACTGTAATTACATGTAGAACATAAAACCATAGTGAATTCCATATCTACTTCTTTATCACTAAAAGAGAACAGCAAAAAAGATAAATTAAACAGTAACCTAAGGTTTTGAACAATGAAAAAATAAAATAAAACCACGTTCTCCTTCAAAATCTCCGCCTTCTTTCCTTTTACAACCCATCTTTCCTTTTACAACCCACGTTCTCCAAACTTCCCCTCTACATGATTTTAAATAAAACATCTCTCTTTCTCCGTTCTAACTAAACCCGCTTCCCCTCAAAAAATTTCCCCAAACTCAAAAACCACGCCCTCACAAATCCCTAACCCTAATCTCTCAAATCTCTCATCTCGAACTCCCAAGAATTAGACTCCTCTTCATCATCATCATCGTCTCCATCCCCTCAATTCCCTCATCTCAAATCCCTAGCAACTTCCCCCCTCGGGCCCTCCCTCTGGCGCCTCCATTCACAGGCCGACGAGGCCTCAGAAACCTCACCCTCTACCCTCTTCAGCCTGCGGCGGCGTCACATTGCACAGTGGCGCCGGCGGCCGACATTCTTCCGGCCTCCTGTCGGTGGCCGGTTGGGGTTTTTTGTTTTGCAGTCGAGTGCACTCTTTCTCCTAAGCCTACAACCTACATGTATTCTCACTTAAATAAATTATGGAACTATAAGGTTGAACAAATTGCCATTGATTGCATGATTTACATTGTTCGTCAATGCAACTAATTATCTATAGGTAATCTTTTCCTTAGATGCAAATGATAATTGTCGTCCTTATAGTTTCTGTCAAATTTCAGTTCCATCAAAACGCACCGGGAGCTGGCCTTTCGATGAAAAACTTTGATGCATATTTGGGGTGTTCTTTGATGCATATTTGGAGGCGCCATTGGTGGAATCTGATTGCCACGGAAGAATCAAAATGATAAATTTCGGCAACAGTCGCAAAATCACAGAGGACAACTTAAATGTGAGATTCTTCCCTTCTTTTCATTCGTAATCTTGCATATTTGATTTTTCCATGTATACGTTTCTTTTTTAGAAAGCTGCTATTTTATCAGGTATCTCTCTCTTGTCATCTAATATTTACTTGCTCTTCCATTTAAGATTTTTGACTGATTTATTATGTTCATTTCAAAGTAATTATCATGCTGTAGGAGACAAAAGCACTAACAAAAGCCAGAAAAATTAAATCTCTGATTTATCTGAAGGAATTCATTCGCAATAACCTTCTCTCTATCGATGACCTTAAGTCCTCCTTTGTAATCTTGACATCTCTTTTTCTTCTCCAAACTAATTGGTTGTTACAGTTTGTATATTCAATTATTAAGTAGCTATGTGAGTTAGTGATAGAGATATAACTGTTGGAATTGTATTTAAGTCTTCTTCAGAAATCATAATAATATTAGTATAATTGTGTAATAGTGAAGACTGTAACGTGAATTATATTTTATAATCTATTAATGATTAAACAATGACGAGCCTGGGATTATGGTGATGGATATGTAAAGGCTAGAGTCTACAACGATATGTTGTTAAATTATTGAATGATCTTAAAGCTAATTTTAATCGGTCTTTAGCAAGTGTCTAGCGAACGTAAGAATAATAGAGAATCAGAGCAAGTTGTTCTTATTAAATTGATTTATCCGTGCACTTACATGTTTGTTTGTATTTGTATGATACTTTATGTTTGTCTCTGTTCAATTTTCTTGTCTGGCATGCTTTACTGGAGTTTGGCCTTCTGAGAGTCCGTGAATTTACACTTGTGGTGATTGAACACTTCGTGGATCCAGAGGACAAATCTTATCCAAAATTTGCTGATGTTACTGAATTGGAGTTCTTGATGGTTCCGAGAGGAGCAACTATCTGGGCAATCAGCCAAGAAAATTGTTCTGGGTGAAGCAGTATCAATGGTTGCTTGAACATCGCTTGTTGCTTACTTTAGTATTAGACTCATCTATATTATTTCAGTATCATCATTTAACTTCAGTTTTAATTTTATTTTGTTATCATTAATAGGGAACTGTCAACAATGAGACTATTGGCTACTTCATTGGCAGTGTACCTCTTCCTCACTCACCTTGGAATTGACAAAGAGAGATTGCGTTTCCGACAGCACTTGCCCCATGAGATGGCTCATTATGCTGCAGATTGTTGGGATGCAGAAATTCAGTGCTCATATAGATGGATAGAGTGTGTTGGGATTGATGATAGTTCTGCTTATGATATAAAAGCACATTCAGTAAGCCTAGAAGACTGTAATGTGAATTATATTGTCATTCTTTCTCTTATTTACTATAAGAATTATATAACTATTATCTGTAAGAATTTTCAAAGTATGTCTTTTATAGTAACCAATCTTTTATTTTCCGAATTGTTGATTGACCTTCACAAATTGCTCACGATTCTCTATCTCAAGATTTACTCTTTGGAAAGAAGAAAATTGCATGTACTTTCTCTGATTTCATTTTGTTAGGGTTTTCTGCATAAAAAGTTTTTTTAGGTAGTTTTTAGAGGAATTGATTGATATATAAATCATGGTGAAGAATTTAATCTAAATTCTAATTTTTTGCACATCAGATTGTTGGTTTTTGGATTATTTAGTTACTTCTTTTAGCATGGTGAAGATGCTAATTTCTATTTAATAATGTTTATTTCTGATCATGTTACCAACCCTTATGCTTAAATTTGATTTAGTTAATCTTTTTTGCTTTTTTTAATGAAGATTTGGTTGCTAAGTTTTAATGGGTTTTGTTTGTTCGTGGGTTAGGGATTGGAGATTGATTACGTCAGAGATGATGATGGATGGATCGAATTGGAGTGTCAACTCGGTTCATCACATTTATGAAACAGTAACTTTATTTCACTTTTTATATTTAAGTTTTAGATAAATATTTTCACACATTTATGCTCTAAAAAAATTGGCCTTTATTGTGCTATTTCGATTTCAGTTTTGAGTAGTATTTGATCTTTAAAATTTTGGTTAATGAAGTAGTAATCGAATCGAACTTGCTCGAATATCTAGACGAATAATAACCAAACTGTTTATTAATTATTTGGTTCACTTCCACCACTATACTTCATATCTAAAGCAGAATACTTTATTTTGATAACATGTTAAATATTTGCAAAAAATCTTTTAGGATCTGTGCTTTGCACGGGTTTAAATACTAGTATTTATCATAAAAAACATTGAAAACAAAACAACAGTTCTATTTCCGTGGACATACTTACATAACCATTAAACTGCTGGCAAGCTGCCTCAACCTCCTCAACAGTAGACATTGTCACAAATCCAAAACCTCGGCTCTTTCCAGTTAGCTTGTCATAGATAACCTGCAAAATAATCCAACTTAATTCACCAGATTCAAACACTTACAAACCACATAAACTTCTAGAAGCGCCACCATCTTTGAAATCAAACTCTACATAACCACACTAATACATTCACCAGAATCACAACTACCTTATAAAACTAAAAGGACCTTGCAAACAAATGATTTTCATTTGATTCAGTGATTCTTAATTATAAAAGAAGGGGCTATCCATGAAATATACACATTAAGTATCTATCATACGGGTAAATTCAAAAGTGTGCGTAAATATGTTGCTCTTACCATCATTCTAAATTTATTCAACAAAACCACATGGATAATGTTTTCAGACATATCAGCTAATCACGCACAAGTCAACAATAACAATGCTTCTCTCTACAAAACTATCAAAACTTCTGACCCAAAAACTTTCAACTTGAAAGTTAATATTCTCCTTCAACTTAAATATATATAGCCAACAATACATATTTCTCAGTCAAACTTACACGCAGTTTTCATTATTTTCCTATCAAGTTCAACACACGACAAAATATATCAACTTACACCAAAAAAAATTTAAAAATAAAATAAAATCAATTAACATCAGAAACAACGGTAAACAAAACAAAGACACAATATTTTTCAATTCTAACAAGTACCCAATTCCTAATTCACTACAAACCCAACAGAAAACAAAATTATACCTCAACCATCTCAACATTCCCAGCACTATCAAAAAGCCCAGCAAGCTCAGCGCTATCCACAGTAAACGGCAAATTCCCCACAAACAGCTTCAAATCCGGCGAAAAGCTCGCGTCGACTCCACTCCCAACCTCCTCCTCCTCCTCCACCTCCTCCTCGTACTCCGACGGCACAGCAGCAACTTTCCTCACAAACCCCAACCCTAACCCCCTTTTCCCCAATTTCAAAGGCACAAATGAAGAAGAGACTGAGAATGACAAGCTGGGTTTTGAAAAGAGGAGAGGAGAGGAGAGGTTTAGGGCTTTAGGGTTTGAGGAGATAAGATTTGGAGAGAGGAGAGATGAGGCTGCCATTTTTTTGAGATTTTTTTTGGGTTTCCTTTTTTTTTCTTGGGAGGATAAGGTTTTGGGGAGGATGAGGGAGCTGAAGGGAGGGGGAGGGGGGTATTTAAAGGGATGGGGTTAGGGGTTTTGGGTAGAGGAATGACATTAGGGTTTAGGGTTTGGGTTTACTTAATAGCCTGTTTGGATGGAATATAGAAAAGAGAAGGGAAATGGAAATTGTATGGGAGTTTCATTTATTAGAAGAGCTTTGCTATAGGGACCCAAAATATGGGACCAATTGAGGGGACAAGTGAGGTGTCCCCATCCTATTGGATAATGAATTGGCCATCATTAATGATGACCAACTCATTATCCAATAGGAGGGGTACACTTCACTTGTCCCCTCTATTGGTCCCATATTTTGGGTCATTGAAGAATTTTTCTTATTAAAATACTAGAGGAAAGGAATGAGAGGGAAATTAAACTAAAATCTTACCCCCCAAATTAGGGGATAAAGAAGAGGGAATGGAAGGATCCCTGAGTCATCTCGAGATTCTTAGGGCTTAAGGGCATGTGATTGCTCAATGGTTAGACCCAAAAATGATATTACTTTTTCTTTTCTTTTTTTCTTTATGATATTGATGACTACGCTCATACAATTTTCAAAATTGTACTAACAGTAATTGTGTTGATTTAAACTTGACAATAGGATATAAGTTATGTTTAGACTCAAAACTACTTTTTTAAAATAGGGTCGTTTTATAGAAATTGTCAACTAACGCATAAACTATCGTAAACAATCAACCACGTAGACTCACTTTTAAGTCCGGTTTTTTCGGTTTTACTGTAATAATCAACTAATTAGACTCACTTTTAACTCAAAAGTTTTTTTTGGGTTTTACTGTAATAATCAGTTCAATACCAAAAAAGTAAACTGAAAAGCACTCATAGGTGGTTGATTGCAACAAAAAATCATTTACGAATGGTTTACGTATAAATTAACAATCAAATGTGGTTTACATATTGACCCTGTTTGAAAGGTTTTTTTTTTTTTTGTTTGTTTGTGTGTGGTGTGGTGGGGGTGGGGGGCAATCTACAGTCAAAAGAAGGAATGAAAATGGAATAGCATAGTAACATAATGAACGCAATCCTCAACGGTAGTACAGAAGTAAACTAAGAGTAACAGTGTAGTTATCAATATTCTAATATCAACATACAAAATTAGTGCATTGAAGAATCAAGCAAAAAAAAAAATGGAACAATTCTGCAAGTAAGATAATCGAGTTTTTAACTAATCTAATAATCTCTGTTAACAAAATGTATCCATCATTATACAACACAGCAAAAACATTTGAGTTACAAAGTGAGCAACAGCAAAGAAATAAGGTTCTCTCTCGTCATTAACAAGTAGATACTCCAAGAATTAGCTTTTATGAAGAGACTGATTCCTTTAGACATGATCTCATGATGCCGGCAAGCTTTGAACAAGCATCAAGGCACAAATCCATTGCCTGTTCAAAAGAAATCATAACCAAGTTATGAAGAGAACAACTGCGCTTGTGAGATACCCTTAATACTCCACAGTGAAAATCCTTTGTGTATGCATACCTCGTTGATTTTGGCAGTCGACCATTCTCCAGTGAGAGTGAGTTGAGTGATCTCATGACGAGTAGGCATACATGTGATCATGAGGCTTCCATCTTGGCAAGCTTCCTCCTCTGCCATCGGATCAATAACTAGGTTCGCTCCAAAACATGACTGTAAAAAGAAAGGGTTAAGTATAGCTGAAATGAATACGAAAAATGTCGATAATGTTCAACTAATGAGATACCCAAAAATCCAACATAGTATAACTGTGTAATAGTGATCATACCACTGAGACAGCAGAAACGAGGTCATACATCATAATTCCTGCGTCAGCCAAGGCAAGACTTGCGCAAGATATAATAGCTGGAAGATCGCCTAAAATTTGTAGCATAGGAAACAAACGCATGGTATTGGATCAATTGGCTTCGCAATTTTGCATTAGAATGACGGAATAATTGCAAGGAAAGTGTCATTAACAAGTAAAATGGATTAGTTTATTCATGTAGACGTTATGTAGCTGGAAGATCGCAAGATATAATAGCTGGAAGATCGCCTAAAATTTGTAGCATAGGAAACAAACGCATGGTATTGGATCAATTGGCTTCGCAATTTTGCATTAGAATGACGGAATAATTGCAAGGAAAGCGTCATTAACAAGTAAAATGGATTAGTTTATTCATGTAGACGTTATGTGTGAGACTATTCTCATGTCTCCATCACCAGTTAATAGACAACATATGCAAAGTCCTCGATCTACTCTAGTTAAGTTTCGCACCTAAAAGGGCACATTATTGCAAAGTATATTGTTGCTAATTCATAATCCATATTTCTCAGTAAGAGTTGCACGTGTAGAAAATGTTCTATTATCGAGTGAAGGTTGCAAATGATCTTTCTGATACTGAATCCCTTTACTACTCTCAAAGATCAAGAACTGCTGGATAAATGTAATCAACAAACTCTGACTCAAATTCAAGTAGAAATTATTACTATCCTGCCCTACATAGTACAGTTCAAAAAATATTTTATTTTATAGATTTTTAAAGCATTCTGATGTCAGATGAGAGATAGGCTTACTTCCACCAGATTCCAATATCAATGCAAAAACATCAACAGTAGTCTTTGGGAAAGTTTCTAAAATTATAGCACCCTCCAGTGCTTTATGAAGCAATAACGAATACTCTTTGTGATCTGATCCCTGAAAAATATACGAACAAAACATCAATGCATGATGAGGACTGTATACATACGAATATAACTGTACATATATACATGTTGCATGAGGAAAAACTGGTATATACCTGACCACGTATAGGAGCAGAAAATGTTGTGTAGCTCACATTACAATTCAATCTACCAATATCACTATACATCATTGCCTTCTTGCTTTCCCTTGGACCGAACCTGAACAGAAAAATATAATCCAATAGTCTAAGTAAACGATGATATAATAAAATGAGGACAAATTTTCAAAACAAACCCTTTTGCAAAAATATTCCCCAAAAACGACCTGTTTCAACTTTAATTACCAAAACCGACCCAGTTTCAACCCTGAGGCTGAAACTAGGTCGGTTTTGGTAATTAAAGTTGAAACAGGTCGTTTTTGGGGAATATTTTTGCAAAAGGGTTGGTTTTGAAATTTTGTCCAATAAAATGAAGGTCACCAAAAGCATCAAGTCAGACAGTCAGCAACTAATTTACAAAGATTATCGATGTAATGGTGGAAGCACAGGTTCTGGTCTAGGAAGAGATGCAACATTGCGGTCTTAATGGCTTGAAATTACAAAGGGTGGTCCAAAGGTATTTAAGGAAATAAACTAACAGAATGATCAATCAATCATATATATTCTCAAACATTACAGCATATGAAAAATGGAATAGCCAACTTCTTTGAATAGGCTTTGTGAAGGAAAGCTTTGACACCGAATGTTATTCAGTCATGGGCCATGTCACATCATAGAAAGTGCAAGAAAAATATCCTCATGAATTATATCAATAGAAAGGAACCAGAATTTAACAACCAACCAACCCTGAGATTGAACTTTTGGTGGGACCAAACTCTGAGAAGGTCTATAAATTGACAACCAACCCTGTTCAATATAACAATAGAAAGGAACCAGAATTTAACATTATAAACATTTAAACAAAAGCTGCCAGGTTAGAGCATAGAATAGCAGTCAGGAAACACACAAGATATGCTTCTAGGGGAAGTATATTTATTTGATCTCATACCCGCAATTGCATACGAGCAAAGGCCTATAACAAAGCAAGAGCAAAGGTGAGTGTGCAAACTATGGACTTTAACAGACTCGTTCACATGCTCAAACCATTCCAACCGGCCCTCTCTTGCTTTCTTCTCGACAGTATCTTTAACTTCTAATAAACACTAATTTATTATCCTCTCTTAGTTTTTTGCCCCTCATTAATCTCAACTATCTAACTTATTGGGTCCGAGTTATTCAAAACCAACACCTATCCAACCTGATTTTGTTCCTACTTGAATCTGATATCCAGACCCTTAAGTTGTATATGGGTCAGAACATAGATCAAAAGTTCTAAAGGGGTGGGCTCTGAACCTAGTAAATTTGAACATGAAACTATCAAAACCCAAAAACTCCCGACACCTAAGAATTATTACTTTCGAAATATGGGTTGTGTCCTAAAATATCAATCATGATAGACACAACCTATACATAGCCAATCCACCACACAAGTAGAATGGGTACTGGTTAAAAAATTAACACAGAGCTACTTAGAGGCGGATATCGTCAACCGAAACCCACCTGGACCCGATCCCCACTTGCATCCCAACTTCTTGTCCATGTTCATCTGATGTTTCTTGTGGATCAAAGATGGTTGCTAGGATTATCAAACCAAAGGATATTTCCATGTTTAATATTGCATAGGGAAACAATTGTAAACACCTCATAGTCAAAAACTTATTAATTAATTAAGGTTCCAACAAAGTAGGCTCGCTACATTATACTCCAGTAGGATCATATCACAATAAAATAAGAAAAGGAAACAATATGCATAACATGGATGTGATCATGTAAATAAGTGGTTCAGTTCAGGATTTGTACTCACACAGATACGATGACCTTGGTTGTTCCAAACTCAACATATGCAGATCCTGCTGCAGCACTTGCAGCACCTGTTCTCAGAACTGCAAGGTATCGATAGATAAACACAGTTATAATAAAGTTATGGACAGCAAATTATAATATTTCAATAATTGAAAGGCCATGATATAATAATATAAACATAACTAAAAAAGACCATCTTCTACATAAAAAAGACCATCTTCTACATTTAAATTCTTAGCACAAGTACTTCAATTGGAAAATATTGCAAAATTACACTTCAGTTAATTCAATCGGGATAAGAAAAAGGTATGATTTAGCAACTACATTGATTTTGGGACAAACTAACTGCCAGTGACTGAGAAAATTTGACTTTGTAGCCTTTATAGTAAGCTTTACAAAGTTAAGCAGTCTCTAACAGTTTGAAAGACAAATGGATGTGGAACATGCAAAATTATGCACTTAAAGACATGTTGGTAGTGGCAACACATATGTATGTGAAGAATTTGCCTAAAATAAGATCGTGAGGATGTCACCTATGTTTTATGCTCAACTTCTGGAGTGAAACATGTACACGTATGCTAACTTGAATGTAGTTAAACAAAATGCAGAGAAAATGCATATTGAGAGAGTGAAGAAAATTTTAGAACAGAAATATTAGAAAACAATAAGAAAAACCATACAGTTCGGAGTATACATTATGATGATCTGGTCATCCACAACAATTTTATCTACTTGATTCTAAAAAAGTCTAGACACAGTGAGGCAGATACACAAAAGAAGCTAATAAAAGGACTAGAATGATGACCTTCCATGAAGATCAAATTTTTAAGGTAAACCTGCTTACTAAGCATCCAATATCTATAGATGGATCATCTCGATTTGCTCAAGCGAAGACGAGGACAATCCAATTTTTCTGCTAGTGCTATGTCCATACAAGTAGCCCCAAAACCCACCTCCCAGAGTATCTCATTGCAGCAAAACATCAAGCACTAGTAGCACATGAACTACGAACACAACACTCAGTAATCCAAATCATCATAAGCAATCAATCAAACACTTAATCTACTCCCCAGCATTCTAAATCAAAGATGGGTCATCCCAGTTTCTTCAAACAAAGAGAAGAATCACCCATTAGTTTCTGCTGTAAGCCACAGAATAACTTATTGAAGCAAAACGTCAAACAGCACTAGCACATCAACTAAGAATACCACACCCATCATTAGAAAATCAAAACCCATCAAGAATTTTTCTTTAAAAAGGTAACAAATACATAATTTCTTTCACAAGAGCAACTAATCAAACACATACATACGGGTCTGCGCTGACGGAACTCTCGACCATCGGATCGTTTCCAGTTCGAAGCATGCATTATGATGCTCTGGTCATCCACCACAATCTTATCATTTAATTTATTCTAGAATAATCTATAACCAGTGAGCCAGATAACACAAAAGAAGCTAATATAAGGATTAGAACAAAGAACTTCAACGAAGAAAATCACGAATTTTAATGAAAACCTCCTCATCCAATATCTATAGGTTGATCGTCCATTATTTCTGCTATGAGCCGTACAAGTGGCCACAAGACCCATCTCTCAAAAAGCTCAGGCAAAGCGTCGAACAGTAACAGTGCACGGAATGCGGGCAAATTATCAAACACTTAAATCTCTTCCCTACCGTTCTAACTAATTCAAAATGGGTCATCCTAATTTCTTCAAAAAAGATGAGCATCACCCATTAGCTTCTGTTCCAAATCCCAAAACATCTAATTGCAGAAAATCATCAAAAACCCAACAAGCATTTCTCTCAACAAAGTAAAAAAAAAAAAAACAGAATTTTATATCACGCAGGCAATTAATCAAACAGGTTGAGTGCATGTGGAGATCACGTACACGCAGGCCTGCACTGATGGAACTCTCGACCGTCGGATCGCTTCCAGTCGATTTCTCTGAAGAGTCTCCTCCTCTGCTGCTGTTGCTGCCTCTTCTCCAGACTTTGTGAAGGCGAGTATGTTGTGGTGGAGCTCGTCGCCATGGCGCCTCTATCTTCGCTCTCGCGCTCGCCGTTAGCTGAGGAAGGGAAAACGCGCAGGTTAGGGTTTTTAACGGGTCGGATTCGGGCGCGAGCTACGGATTATCTTTAACAAACCGCGGAGTATAGGGGTAAATGAATCTGTAGTTCATTGATCTTTATATGTAATTGCATGTGGCAGTAGTAGAAGACTATACAAAATTACATGTAACTCCTTATAAGGTTTACAATTCTCCTACCCCTCCCCCTCACCCTAAAAAATTTAAAAATTTCAACCTAACCTATCTCAAAACAGTAAATAAATTAGAAGCAAATTAAATAAGCTCATTGAAAGCGTATTGAGTACATTCGCATCGGGCAATATAGTTTTGTAATATTATATTTTTATTTTTAGGTAAATAGATACTTATTTTACGCCCCCTAAGAAAAATTCGTATTTACCTTCACTTTTGTTAATTCTTGCTTCTAAGTTACTTCTAACTTCTATTACCCTAGTTCTAGCTTCTATTACCCCAGTATTATGTATTTTACTTTCACACTTGTGTAATAAAAGCTAGAACTAGGGTAATAGAAGCTAGAACTAACGTAGAAGCAAGAATTAACAAGTGTGAATGTAAAATACGAAGGCTGGGTTTAGAACTAGCAAGGTGTGGGCTAGAACTGGCTTATACAGGCTAGAACTAGGGTAATAGAAAGTAGAACTAACGTAGAAGCAAGAATTAACAAGTGTGAAGGTAAAATACGAAGTCTGAGTTTAGAACTAGCAATGTGTGGGCTAGAACTGGCTGTATACAAGCTAGAACTAGGGTAATAGAAACTAGAACTAACGTAGAAGCAAGAATTAACAAGTGTGAAGGTAAAATACGAAGGCTATGTTTAGAATTAGCAAGGTGTGAGCTAGAACTGGCTGTATACAGGGTAGAATTAGGGTAATAGAAGCTAGAACTAACGTAGAAGCTAGAATTAACAAGTGTGCATGTAAAAAACCATTGTTGGGTTTAGAACTAGCAAGGTGTGGGCTAGAACTGGTTGTATACAAGCTAGAACTAACGTAGAAGTAAGAATTAACAAGTGTGAAGGTAAAATACGAAGGTTGGGTTTAGAACTAGCAAGGTGTGGGCTAGAACTGACTGTATACAAGCTAGAACTAGGATAATAGAAGCTAGAACTAACGTAAAAGCAAGAATTAACAAGTGTGAAGGTAAAATACGAAGTCTGTGTTTAGAAATAGTAAGGTGTGGGCTAGAACTGACTGTATACAAGCTAGAACTAGGATAATAGAAGCTAGAACTAACGTAAAAGCAAGAATTAACAAGTGTGAAGGTAAAATACGAAGTCTGTGTTTAGAAATAGTAAGGTGTGGGCTAGAACTGACTGTATACAAGCTAGAACTAGGGTAATAGAAGCTAGAACTAACGTAGAAGCAAGAATCAATCTCTTGAGCAACCGTAGCGGCCTCCTCCTCTTCCTCTTTCTTCTTCGTCTTCGTCGCCTTCCTCTTGCTCTTTCCCCCTTCTTCTTTGAACATATCGAGGAGGTCTCCTCTTCTTCAAAGGCGTCGAGGATCGCGTGGATGACGTGGCGGTTGGGCGAGGAAACAACTTTATCACACCTTGAAGTTGTTTTTCCTCTGTTTTTCTTTTATCTTTCTGCTTGAGTTATCATTTGCTTCTTTTACATTGCTACAATGCTTAATTCGTCTATGATCACATGCACGTGTAGTTATTACCATTCGTTAGGTTACATATCATGTTATTTATCTGTGAGAGTGGGAAAAACTGCTGGTCATGCAAAAATGTCTCTTCCATATTCCATTTTGTTTAAGTAGTAAATTTGATTTGGTTTACTCAGTTTGGTTCCCATTCTAAGAAGCGGCTCCACAACCTAGTCCTTGGACGTATGTATGATCATCATGTTTATGATCTTGTTGAGGTTGGAGTTGAAAACTTCAAGCCATTAGAATCTTTCACCTATGACAAGAAACTAGCACCAAAAGCTGGAACAAAACCATTATTTGCTTTCATAGGTGAAGGTTTTGAAAGTGTGGAAGAACTAATGCACTTGAAGGAAGTGCTGCTTGATATATTTAGAGGAAGGTGACGAAAGACGAAGAAGAAAGAGGAAGAGGAAGAGGAAGGTGAACTCCGGCGTAGTCGAGGGCGAGGCGGGGAGCGACGGCGAGCTATGGCGACGAGGTTGGGTGGAGGAGAGGAGGGGAGGCGACAGCGAACTCGAGGGGAGCCTTGGGGGCCTAGGCGGAAGCGGCGACGTCGAGGAGGGCAAGGGCCAGGGCGACGAGCTTGAGAAAGCCCTTGCTTTTAGAGAGAGAGAGGAGAAAGAGAGAGAGAGAGAGAGAGAGAGAGAGAGAGAGAGAGAGAGAGAGGAGAGGAGAGAGAGAGGGAGAGAGAGAGAGAGAGAGAGAGAGAGAGAGAGAGAGAGAGAGAGGAGATGAGAGAGAGAGGATATGAGTGTTGGGTCTGAGGGATTGAGGTAGGGAATAAGGATATTTTGGGGATTTTAGTTTAGCTGGCATGTAATAATTGCTAAAAAGTGATTGCAGCACAAACTGTCACACTTCAAGAGGCTGAACCACATTGGGAAAACTAGGAGGGACTGCAGCACATGAATTTTCTGTTTTTGGGGCTCCAACACATTTTTCCCTATAAACTAACTAAATACTACAATTTTAAATGCTCAAAATCGAAACACGCCCAAAAAACACGACTCGTTAGTACGTGCTATAATAGATCCGACCGTTACAAAATTCAAATTCAAAAAAGCCCCATTCTCTCCAACAAACCCAACAAAACCCCAAAACGAAAGCAACAATCAAGCTCCAACAACTAACAACCAAAATCAAATAATCCAAAATCTCAGAGCTCAACAATGACGTCTCAACTCGAAGAACAGCTCCATCATCTTCGATCCAAAGCAACCGAGCTCTTGTTCAAAGAAGACTGGCCTCAATACATCAACCTCTACACTCACTTCATCTCTCTCTGCACTCAAAACCCCCCAAATCTCTACAAACCCCTACCCTTAGCTTTCTCCAATCGTGCCGAGGCCCATTACAAGCTCAAAAATCTCTCTTCAGCCCTCGAGGACTGCAACCAAGCTCTCGAAATCGACCCGTCTCATCTAAAATCCCTCATTTGCAAAGGCAAGATTTTACTCGACCTCAATCGCTACTCTCAAGCTTGCGATTGCTTTCAAAGGGCTTTGTCGGTGAACAAATCTGAAGAGGTTGTTGGGCTTTTAGACCGCTGTAAGAAGCTCGATGGGCAGTCGAGAACTGGGCAAATCAATGTCTCGGATTGGTTGGTTAATGGGTTTGATGGGAAAAGTCCAGAGCTTGCAGAGTTTATAGGGCCAGTTGAGATCAAAAGATCAGATAATGGAAGAAGAGGGCTTTTTGCTACTAAAGGGATTGAAGCAGGTACAGTGTTGACCATAACAAAAGCTGTGGTTCTTGGGAGAGGTATCTTGCCCGAATCTGATAACGGGTCGGGAAATAATGCCCGAATGGTGATGTGGAAGGACTTCGTGGATCGGATCCTCAACGTTACTGAGAAATGCAGCAGAACTTTATACTTGCTCTACTTGTTATCGACAGGAGATGAAAGTGATGAAGAAGCTTTCAGAATCCCCGATATGGGACTATTCAAGCCAGAAGCTGAAGATGACAGGTTCGTTTTGGAGAACAAAGAGCCTGATGTTGATAGAATTCTAAAGATTTTGGATGTAAATTGCCTCAATGAAGAAGCAGAGTCATCCAAAGTTTTCGGCAAAAAGACTAATGGCTCTTGCAGTGTTGGCCTCTGGGTGTTGCCATCATTTGTGAATCATTCTTGCAATCCAAATGTGAGAAGATTGCATATTGGTGATTATTTAGTGTTACATGCATCGAGAGATATAAAAACAGGGGAGGAGATCACAATGGGCTATTTCGACATCCTACAACCAGTGAACAAGCGAAGAGAGTTATCGAAAAAATGGGGGTTTCAATGTAAGTGTGAAAGGTGTAGGTTTGAGGAGAAGGTAGAGACAGAGATTTTAGGAAATGGGTACGAATCTGAGGACACTGTGATGAGATTGGAAGAAGAAATGAAGAAGAAAATGATGAGGAAGAAGGAGAGAGGGTACTTGAGGGCTTCATATTGGGGGGATTACATGAATGTGTATGAGTCGGAGAAGTCGATGAGGTTGGGGAGGAGGATTCCAGCGATTGTGGTGGTGGCGGAGGGGGTGGCGGAGGCGGTCGGAGGGGACGAGAGAGTGTTGAGGGCGGCGGTCGGAGGATCGAAAAGAAATGGAGGAGGTGGCGGGAATAAATGGGTGGAGATTGAGAGGTTGATGAAGATGGGGAGAGGGGTTTATGGTAGAGTTGTGAAGAAACAGGGGATGAGAGCTCTTTTTGAGTGGTTGAATTGGCGAGCAGAGGTTTAATTAGTAGTTTTTTTCTTTCTTAGTTCATATTTCAAATTCGAGCAGAGGTTAAGACTCTTAACCACACATTTGATCTTTTTTAGGTGTAGGATGTTATGTTCTGGATGCTATTGGATTTCTTTCAGATAAACGTAACGTTGTGATCATTTGTTTTATTAATACTAGTTCTCGGGTGCACATGATGCTTGCTTTACATAATAAGTTTATGCGGAAAAAAATATTTTTAATACCTCAATAATCAAATGCTAATATGAATAAATTTTAGAAAATTATTGCTAAAAATGATATAACGTATCTTACTATTAAATGTAAGAATTAAGGAGAGTTACCAAGTTATGGATGGTAGTTAATGTATTTCTAAATCTTTCTTTATTCTTCTAAATATAATGCCTACAGACGTGTGTTGAATTCTTTTAAAATATTAACATAAGTAGGGGTGGAACCAAAAATGTGGCTTTTCTTAAGTAATAGTAATAGTCAAGGATGGATCCGTTAGGGGCTGTTTGGTTCCTTTTTTTTTGTGGTAAAAGTGAGGAAAGCTGCCAAAAATGTCAGCTTTTTGACAGCTTTCCCCCCAAAATCACCCCTTAAAAAGGTGATTTTGGGGAAAGCTGCCAAAAAGCTGACATTTTTGGCAGCTTTCTTCTCTTTTACCACCCAAAAAAACCTATCCAAACAGCTCAATGAAGCATTATCACCAAAATTTAACAATTTTCGGTTAGATTTTGCATGAAAATGTATTGATACGAAAATGAGGATGAAAATTTATTGGGTTTTTTTTACATTAGTCCCTTAAATCTTGTATATTTTTATATTAGTCCTCCACATCATTGAAATTTGATATTAGTCCCTCAAATCTCTTAGCATTGTTGATGCTAGTCCTTCTATCACATAATCCGATCGAATCTTGTAACTATAGTTAGGTTGCGGTTACTGTTGCTGGGAAATTATAGAAATACCCTCTCCCTTTAGGTGCTGTTTGGCAAAGGGTTAAGTGAGAGATTAATGAGACTTAACCCCCTTCTTAACCCGCCAAACATTAAAAGTCTATATAATGGGTAAAGTGAGTTAACCCACTATAATTTGCCAAACACAAAATATATAGAAAGGTTAAGATAACCTCTCTAGATGGATTAAAATGAGTTAACCCCTCAAAATGAGGGGTTTACTAATACTCCTATTTAGAAGGATTAAGAGCTAACCCCTCTAATTATAAAGAAAATAGTCAAAATCCTTATAATTCCCAAACACTAAAATTGATCATAAGGGTTAAAATAAAACTTAATTATATAACAGGTTAATAATTTAGTCCTTCAGATTATCGAATGGGTTAAGTATCTTAATCATTCTCATTAATCCCTCTTCATTAACCATTTGTCAAACCCGATAAGAGGGCGTAGAGGTTGAGATGTGGTGGGAAGTGTGGCGGGCGAAGAGGCAGCGCTTTGGGACACACTGAGAAGAAGAGATATATATTAAGTTATGTTCATTTCTTAAAAGATATATAGAAATTATACTCTTTTGATATGTATATGAGGTGAATTTGAAATTTTTTTTTTTACACGAGAAATATTGTATCTTAACAGGAGTAAGTTGAAGCATATATGCTTCGTACATGTTTAGACTTGTTATGTAGAGTTTGTTATGTAAAAAAACACAAGGCTAATAATCCCATATGTTTTCTAAGGGCGTGTTTGGTTCGCTGTTTTGAACCGAAGAAACACTTTTCTCCTCCTGACACCCGCTCCACATCGACAAAACCCTTTCTAGGGTTTTCGTTTCTCGTCTTTGGTTCGCTTCTCCCCCTCGTCCCTCCAGCTGCGGAAATCCCCTCCACATCGGCATTTTTTCTTCGCCCCATTTCCTTCAAAAACGAGAGGAAATCGCCCCGATCTGTACGATTGTCAGCATCGTCGGGCTAAATGGGCCGGAATCCAGGTGAGGGCTAGCGGTTACCTCCTTTCTTTCCCTCCTTTTTCACTCTTCGCGCCTTGGCGTTCGCTTCCTGGCTTGCGGGGGGTTATCTTCGTCGCGCTTGCCGGGCGGGTTTTTTGCGATTTCGTGGCGCTTGCGGGGTTATCTTCGCTGGCTTGCGGGGGTTTTTTCGCTGGCATTTCGTGGCTTGCTGCGATTTTTATCAGCGCCTTATGGGGAAAATTTGGGGGTTTTGCCGACTTTGATCTTCCTGGAAACTGATTTCAGACCTAAGGTAAGGGGAATGATTCTCAAACTCAAAAGAATTTTAAAAAATTTTGTCCAGGGTTGTTGCTGCTGGTTGTTCCTTCAATTCTGTTGTTGTGTCACAGCGTTTGTTTGTTGTCTGGTTGTTGTTGTGTTGTGGTTGTTGTTGTCTCCAGTTTTGTTGGCTGGTTGCTTCCTTCAGTTGCTTGGTGTTCGCGTTGTGTCCAGTTTGTGTGTCATGGTTTTTGTTGTGTCCTAGAGTTGTGTGTGTGCTCGGTTGGTTGTTGTCTAGCGGTATGTGTCCAGGTTGTTGCTGGTTGTTCCTTCAGTTGCTGTTGGTTTGTGTCCAGTTTTGATGCTGGTTGTCTTCAGTTTGCTGGTTTGTGTGGTTGTGTCCAGGTTGTTGTGTCTTTGTTGTGTGTCCAGAGTTGGTTGTGTCGTTGTTGTTGTTGTGTCAGGGTTTGTTGCTGGTTGTTCCTTCAGTTTAAGTTTTGATTATTGACATTGCATATGAATGCTTGGTAGGTATATTAATTATTTCAATTTGATTTTTGCATCGTAGATGGATGGTGATGGGGATTGTACCGATGAACAAAGTGTTGTTAATGTGGTTCAAGGTGCAGCACTATATGTTCTTGTTATAATAATTACATTCATAAGGAGAATGCAAGCTAGACGTAAATCTATACGTCGTGGTCCAAGTGAGGAAAAAAAAAGACAAGAGAGGTCTAGAATTGAACATATAGAGCGTATTTATAATGGTTTTAGTGATAGTTGTGTGAATTATATTAGAATGCGGAGTGGTGCTTTTGTTAAGCTAGTAAGTATAATGAGGAACAATATGCTTCTAAAAGACTCAAGGAATATATCAGTGGAAGAACAACTTATCATGACACTAAATATTTTGGGTCATAAATCTAAAAATCGCATTGTGAGATCTCATTTCATAAGATCAGGGGAGACAGTCAGTAGATATTTCAACAAGGTTTTACAAGCAATTATCTGTTTGCGTGGACGCTACATGAGACAAGCCATCAATGATACTCCCCAAGAGATCGTTAACAACCAGCTATACTATCCTTATTTCAAGGTATATCTACATTTTAACCACAGTTACATGTATAAGCAATAAAAATAAATGATAACTTAGTAATGTGATACACGTATTATAGGATTGCATTGGTATGATAGATGGGACTCATGTTGATGCAATGCTTCCGATTAATCTTGTTGCACGATTTCGAGGCCGCAAAGGTGTTACACAGAACGTGCTTGCAGCTTGCACCCCAGACAAATTGTTCACATATGTCTTAGCAGGTTGGGAGGGGTCTGCAAATGATTTTAGAATTCTCCAAGATGCATTATCTAGACCACAACCACATGGATTGAAAGTCCTAATATTAGTGGGGTACAACTTTCTTCATCCTTGGCTTATTAACCGATTTCGGTTAAATCAACTCTTTTATAGAGTTTCAAACTCATTCAGAGTTCAAAAACTTGCCACGCAAGTTCTCCATAACGTCAAATCGTGAGGAGAAGACCATGTTCCGATGAATCAAGACGTTCGGATCGTCAACGGAGAGCAAAGTCGACGCGAGCATTCGAGGGAGGTACTCCATCGCCACTGTGAAGAACCCATAATTAAACAAAGGGAAGAATCCAGATCATTCTCCTCTCTTTTGTAATCAGGAAATCCAATTGTAATCGAGATTGAGAGGGTTGTAATCATTCTTTTTCTAAGCAGTTAGAGAGAATAAATCAAATACGATTCTTTCATTATTTTTCTTATTACAAATTTTCCACCAAACAGTCAGGATGAAGCATATTAACGTTCGTTATCACTTCGTTCGAGATGTTCTTGAAGATGGTGATGTGGAGATTGTGAAAGTCCACACAAAGGATAATCAAGCGGATATGCTCACAAAGGTGGTTCCGAGCAACAAGTTTGATCATTGTCGAAACTTGTTGCATATTCGTGATTGTTGAGGTTGTTGGCGGCCATTTGGGTGAACTATGTGAGGCTTGATTCTTTTGTTGCATATTCGTGATTGTTGAGGTTGTTGGCGGCCATTTGGGTGAACTATGTGAGGCTTGATTCTTTGGACAAGAGGATACGTAGGTAGTCTTTTCGATGCAACCATTTTGGATTAGTTAGTTTTGATGGGGGTGAAATTGTTTGGATTCTTGTTCGGATTCTCGATTTGTTGTGGATTGAGTCCGTTTTCGTGAATTGTGTTGGCCTTCTTATTTTGATGATGTTTAACAAACAATTTATGACTAATGTTGTTTATCTAGTATTTATGTTTTTCGTATTTATTCTAGGCAAACAACAAGTTAGAGGATGGATGAATTGCGCCATAACGATCATATCAAATGGAGGTTGGTGGAATAGTGGTTGAAGCTATGCAAATTCAAGTTGAAGATCCAAGTTCAAGCTTCATCCGCAAGTGTACCAAGTTGAGCTCATTGAAGACCTTCATCAAGCTTGGGTAATTTAGTTTAGGAGTTTATATTATGTGTGTTAGTACTTTAAGCTCAATCATATACACACATACACATTTTGGTTTTGTATATATAGTTATATATATACATATATGTTTTGGTTTGATAGTTTTCAAGTTTTAATATGAAACAATTTAATATAATTAGAAAACATATTTTTGTTTCATTCTTATATGCATATATATGATTTCATCAATATCAATTTTATTTAGTTTAATGAAATCATGTTTTAGTGCATTATATGTGTATTTTGATAAAATACTACATTCATTGTTTATATACTTCATAACAATAGTTTACATCTTTCTTTAAGTTTATAAAATCATTTTGTAAAGTTTCAAAATATGGTTTAGGCAAAATGTCAAAATTCATATGTTTACATTTCTATGTTTTGGACCTCCTTGCAAAATAATGATATTTTACATTTGGAAAGTCCTTTTTGAAAACCAATTTTTATAGCATGTGTATTATTATGTCTACA